CGCCCGCACTCACCTGCTTCAGGAGTGCAAGGCCAAGGCGGCCGCGTCGGCCGTGACGCTGCCCCAGCAGCCCCACACGCGCCTGCACGTCCACGGCCTGGACGAGGGATCCCTCAAGTCGGTAGAAGACCTGCTGACGTCAGCGGCGGACCGCCGCCGCGCCAAGGCCGCCGCCGCCGCCGCCGCCGCTGCTGCTGCAGCGGCGCAGCAGCAGCAGCATGCCGCCGCCGCCGCCGCCGCCGGGGGCGGCGGCGGGCCGGGTAGCAACAGGACGGGGACGGCGCGGACGCATGGGGGCAGCAGGGTGGGCGACGGGACGTCTCGGCGGTCGTGAGGGGTCGATTTCAAAAGGGGGCTTCAGTCGGCCTGGACAAGGGGCTGTTGAGGGGGGCCCGCCCTTAGGGTCGTCCGCACAGGCGGCCGGTAGCGCGGCTGCTGGATGCCCGACGTGATTTGCCCTCGTGCCTGCTGGCTTGCCGCGGATCGTGTGTAACGCACAGCACGTCACAACAGGCACGAGACAAAGGATGGCTCGGCGCTTTCATTGATTGCTTGGGCCGTTTAGATAGCAGCCCACATCATGTACGGGCACAAGGCAGGTTGCTGGTGTGCGTGTCAAACAGCAGCCCACTTGACGGGCGTCGGAGGGTATGCCAGACAACTACTACCGGCCCCTAAAAGTCAAAAGAGAAGTTGGTCCAAAAAGCAAAAACCCCTGGGCGCAGACCATTTTGTGTTTTTTTTTTCATGTATGGTCATGATTTTGTTTTTTTTCAGCCTCAGGGATTGCATTTGGGTGGGGGATGGGCTCAACGTATAGAGCACCTCCAAACCACAGGTGACCACGCAAGGGGTCGATCCTGCATATGACCCCCCTTCAAATAGCGTCGTGTCTCCACGCAGCTGCCAGGATGCCATGTCATCGTGCCAACCATGCCTCTGTACCGTGCCCGGTGGCACCTGTCAGGTGTCCAAATTCAGCCAGCACGTGCAGCACATCAAGCTGACACATACAGCGGTCAATCTAGCAAGCATGGCTGCATGAGACGTTGACCGTGGCCTAGGACATCCAAAATTCATCACAAGACAGTTTTGATTGTATCAATTACGAATCTATCGCGTTTCGAATCGTATGATACGTGGGCAGGTACAGTGTGGTTCTTACAGTTGAGCTGCGCTGCCCTCTTTCCCCGAACAAGGAGTATAAATATGGGTAAACGAAATGTCCTCATCAGTTGATCACAACGCTTGCACAACCATGCGAAAGCATCTCGGCACGGGTTCCGTGCACGGCCGCTACCCAGCACGCTTCTCTACGCACGGGATGCAGGCAAGCGGCACTCATCAAAAGTCGTGTGAAATCCAAGACGCACGTTGTGACCCGTGCTCAGTCAGGGAACGTGGCGCGCGGCGCCGCACGATCCGGCACGCCTGCTGCTGATTAAGGCGACCTGCGACAGCGGTGCCCCCGAGCACTGGCCAACACGGCTGCTGTACGGGCTATCGATCAAGGCAACATGCATCTATGTTTGAAGGGCGGCCGCACTCCGTCATCCCCTGTTCCACTAGCTGAACGGCGGGCGTGCACGGCGGCACGTCCAGCCAGAGCCTGTGTGCGCTGCCTGCCGGGAGGGCGTCGCCGCAGCGCTGGCGGCCCCAGCAGACTGCCGCCGTCGGCACAGCTGGCCCCGTGTGGTCTCCTCAATGAGGCAATCAGGCAGGCAAATCAAAGCGCAACTGAGACGAACAAACAGGCAGACCCTGCGAGACGAATCATGCGCGACCAGCCCACCCATCCGCCTAAGCAACCCCCAAAGTGGTGATACACACGGCAGTCCGATCAGCGCGCCGACACCGCGCTGCTGGCCCATTGCACCCGGTACGCCTCGCCTAGTGAGTGCAAGGCCAAGGCGCAACCAACCTGGGCTGCTGCGCTCCACTCCCCTTTGTGCACCCAGATGCGCCAGCCTCATAGCTGCATCAACACTGCCAGGCGGTGCTCAGCATCTCACGAGGATATTCCTCGGTTCAATGGACGGCACTAGACACCGCCAATCGCAGTGACTGCGCCACCTTCCCTGTTCAGAGTTCAAGACGCCAATGTTTCCAAGTGAAGCTGGATCCAGCAGCGTCTGCACACCTTGTGCACAGCTTCCAAGGGTCGGCCAAGAGCACATGCTGCCTGCCTGCGCACACGCCGCGCGGGGTTGCGGCGCACTCTAGAAGTCGTCGCCATCCAGATTATGGTGATCACAGATTGGTGCGTCCGGGATCAGCAGACGCCGCATAGTCTCTACAAATCGATTACGCCGCGCAGGTGCTCACGCCACTGCGGTGGGGCGCCCCAGCGCGTAAGCGCCGCGCTCGCCGTCCTAGGCGCAGGCATGAAAGCGGCGAACGCAGCCGATCATCAGGCTTGTCGTGACCGTTTGGTTAATCCCTGGGTGCGTATCCTTGTGCTCTGTCAGGTCAAAATGCAAGCCGGGTCATGCACTTGATGATTGAGACAAATAGGCAATTTGTTTCAGGCGGCACACAGCTCAGCCCCCAAAACCGCCCAGCTGAACCATCGCGCTGTAGGACCCCACCCCCGCCCGCGCCGCCGCCGCCGCCGCCGCCGCGCCGCCG